GTTGTAATTGTTAATGCCAACCAAATCCTCATTGCAAACTGGGCAAAGAGGTTTATTTTTGTCTTTCTGACAAGACTAGAGAAGCGATGTTGGGGTTGGAGGTCACCTCATTTGACAACTCCACAAAGCACTACAAGTGCGTCGATATGAACACTCGTTTAAGTGGCATATACACACTGGGAAATTTGACTGCATATCACATTTTTGAAATTATCGATAGTAGTTGATCAATCTCGGGGGTTGGGCTGGGTCCGCTAGGCTTACTTGTCTCCGTGCTCGTGCTGGAGCTTGTTCACTTACGTCGGTGCTTGTGCTGGGGCTGGTGTTGGATGCCTATTTTGGAAAGTTTTTGCTGGGATGGGCATTTTAAAAAATCTGAAATTCACTTTTGCGCCATTATCTCCTTGTATTAAAGTTAATCTTGTTCGCATTCTGTATAGTTCATGTTTGATACCACACGCCAGCGTCATGTGTTCATGACGATTAGGCTAATCATCCCATATAGAAAACATCACAAGTAAAATTAATCATGTTTATAAAGATAAACTTGGGTTTATTATAGCCCACGTACAATTTACATTTCAGAGATCATTACATATAAATGATTAAATGCTAAAACTGAATAAATTTAAATGAACAAACTTGGCATTGCATTTGCAACCATGTGAAAACAGGGGGTACTGCAGCCCCTTCAGCACCCCTACTTCCCGCGTCCCTGTTTTGTACCGTATCACTTGTTTGGAGTGCAACTGATTGGAAAGCAAATGGAAACTTTAGTTTCCTGTGGCTCAGATTTTTAATAAGAAAGCATTAAAATCATTTAACATCAAACATTTGTGTCCTCTAGAGATATCGCTTTACATGTTAGGCTGTATTTACTGTATATCAAAATGTAGACGCTTCCCTCTAGAGGCTTGGCATAGTAACTACAGCTTGGTTTGCATTGTTCCTTTCTGCCTGTTTTTTCCTCCCCATCCTCTCTCTTTCTCCTTAACAGGCCAATGAAAACAAAGTGTTTGCACTGTCTGTGTGTGCTAATTGCTGCAGGCTGGACGGTGTGGGATAAAAACCAGACAAGGTCCAGAAACCATTCATGACAACTTGTACCAACAAACACACATTTAAAGGTTAATGAGGACACACAGGCAAGGGAGTAGAAAGAA